GGAGATCACCCTGGTTACCTCTGTGCATTGATTCACATAAGGTTTGCCACAAGCTGCTCTAGTGGGAACACAGTTTGGGAAAATTACTGAAACTTCAAGTTCCACTAAAACAACTGTAATCAACCTTGATATGTTTCAGTGATCTCAGACCTGGGTGAGACATATATTGCTGAAACTGGACACTAGGAATGCAGAATTAATGAACCACAAGGATATTTTGCAGACCCCTGAGATAAACACAAAACTAGCAAAGACAATTCAGCAATTGTACTGAAACCCTCTCTACCTGGAAAAAACATAATAAAAATATTGAAAATATGGGCTAATTATTGTGAGAAGAAACAAATCAATCAACAACCAACAGAAGAAAGAATAATAATTATTGAAGAGAATTATATAAATTATAGCCAATGAATGGTAATTTCTTTGTTTGCTAAAAATGTACAAATAGTGAAAAGTTTCGGAAGTGCTTATGCATGTTCAGGGAAAGATCCTGCACACATCCAGTGCCGTAATAAAGTAATGCCTGCAGTCTAGTACTAAAAATAGTGTTTGAGACTTTGATTTATGACGACATGTCAGGTGACAGAAGGGCTTGTGAATTTAGCAACACACAAAGCAGAACTGTTCCAAAAGAAGCACCTAGAGCACCTGATATTTCTTCTAGCTCATTTACTTATCCGCTTTATTTTATTTTTTTCTTTTTGGTGAACCTTCTCTAAACACAGCTGTTTTATAGTTTTGTAGTTGAGATTCAAAGCTGAAGGAGCTGGGCTTGTTCAGCCTCAAAAAGAGACAACTGACCAGAGACCTCACCAGTATCTGTAAGTATCTGAAGGGAGGCATCATGAACAGATGGAGCCAGTGGTGCCAAGCAACAGGACAAGAGGCAATGTAGAGAAATTAATTGCATCTGAATATTGAGCAAGAATTTCTCTACTCTGCAAGTGACTGAGCACTGGAACAGATTTCACAGAGACGTTGTGGAGTCTCCCTCACTCGAGATCTGCAAGAACCATCTGGGCACAGTCCTGTGCCATGTGCTCTGGGATGGCCCTGCTTGAGCATGGAGGCTGGAGCAGATCCCTCCCAGTCTCAACCAGTCTGTGATTATGTGATCCTGTCTACCTGTGGTTCTCATGGATCCACAAGCGATCAGCATTTCATATCACATAATTTTGTTAGAGGATGGAAAGGAATGCAGGATGGCAACAGGACAGGCAGTGGCAACTGAGAAGTGCTGGTGAATTCCTGGTGTCAGGACCAATTTCATGGACAGGCACACTGCAAAGGATGCAGGAAGTTAAAGAGGCTTCTTGCTTGGCTGCTGCTTCTGTTCGCCAGTTAGCATCACTGCTATCAGCGTTTCCTACTTGGGTAGCAAGCCTTGGCATTGCCAAGTGTCGACCCTCCCTTTAGGAACCTCAGCAGGAAAGCTCTAGAACTCCGAACCAGCACTGCAGGTGGCTGAGTCACAGGACAAATTGAGGAGGAGCAAAAGACCAGGAAAGAGCTGGGAATTCGGAGGTCACCAAAGACGGCTTGCAAATGGCAAACCAAAGGGGAGAGATAAGGTGGAAACTGCTGGAAATTTCTCCCTGTTTGTTCTAAGTCGGTTCAGGGCTGGAGCCTAAGTTGAGAAAGAGGCGCTAAGATCTGATCTGATGGGTCCCTACTCGTGTCTTCAAAGAAGAATGCAAGGTTAGAAAATGCAGGGGCGGGACCGAATTTATGGAGCTGTAAAACACGGAAGAAGATGCGAATGGTCTCTCAAGCATTCCAGAACAAAGCTTTTTCTGGATGGCATTGCTTCATTTGGGCTTATTTAAATACTGAATAATCTATTTGCATTTGTTAGAGGAAATTGCCATTCTAACCTCAGAGATGGCTAGCAACACATAGCTAAGAAAGAGAGGTTAAAGTGCTTAATCAGTGTTGAGTATCAGATAACTGATTCCATTTTACTGATATGAAGTATATTTATTGCAGTCTGGACTTTTTCAGATACAGATAGATGAGGTGAGAAAATCTGTTGGCTAGCAAACTGTTTCTTGAATTATTTTGTAAAATATTCCAATCTTGTATTTTAGGAATGTTCCTAATTTTTCTGGTTTTGAAAAAATGATCTGCTAAGTGTAGTCCACTTTTATGAAAATTTGCAACAATTGGTGCTGATCAAGAGAGGCAGGAAACAAAGTATAGAATTACAAGAGTAAATATTTATTCATGTAATGAGGTGTCCCAGCCAAACTGGGTCATCCCGAATGTGGTTTTACACAGGGTTCTTATACCCTTCAACCAGTCCAATACAACATGATTTGACTAATAACTAAGACTCACACTACTGATTTCTAATAATTGTAAAATTTTGCCAGGCAACTATATTTCTGCAGCATTCTTGCTGCTTGTCTATTGATGCAGATGTCCCTGGGGTCAGTTTTGCCAGATAACACTGGAAGGGTTTCCAAGACATATTAGAGTGACTAGAATTCTGGCTTTATCTGGGTTTTCCATGGGTGTCCTTTATCTTTTGTGGACATATATGCTTCCAAGAAGTAAAGTCTTTATTTCCAGGGCTGGGTTGTCCTTTAGTATGTTTTACTTGAGTGTGAACAAACTCAAAGTCTCCAGAAAAATTCCACTATCTCATTCCATTTCACTGTATTAGGTGAAGTAATACATAGTAACAAAGTGAATACATGTTCATATTACAAACACTGATTTAACAGTTAGGGAAGTAAACTTTTATAATGCTACATAATCACCTTTGCAGCATAGCTGACACCAGTCAGCCATTGCAAGTTGTCTCTGGTGGCCTTCATGAGATCCACACATACAACTTCCAGCTGTAAGTGCTCACAGTTACAATGAGCACTCATGATTTTTAGCCCTTTGTTATATCAATAGTAATTTTTTTTGTCAGATAGAAGCTTCCTTAGCTGTTCCTTTCATGAAATTTGACAGCAAAGTACTTTTGATCATCCTTTTAACCTTTCATGGAATCTTTTCCACTACTATTCTGTCTTTCCTAAGTTGAGGGAACTTAGAAACTCAAAGAGCGTTTAAAATGTGTGTTAAATCATGAATTTACATGGCAGCATTAAACTGCTTTGTTCTCAGTTATTTTACAAATCTCAGCATAAGGCTTATTTTTATCAGCTCGATTAAGCCCAGAAGTGAGATTTTCATAGAAACTTTTTCTAAGGCCAAGATTTTGGTCCTGTACAGTACTAGTTAGCTTAGAGTTGATGATTTTTTATTTGAAGTTAGGATGTTTTTCATCACTATGCATCATCTTTATCTATCCAAAATTTAATCTGCCCTCTTACTGTCTAGTTATTCAGCTTCATAATGTCCTTCCACAGATCTTTAGTGGGTTTTTTTCCTCAGGTCCCTCAATAGTTTGGTATGATCAGAAGGCTGTCACTTGAGTGCCCAGCTCCCTTTTCAAGTTACTTGTATGTTGAGCAGGTCCAAGCAGAGATTGGTAACAGCAGTGCACCCATCATCTCTATGCTACAAGGACCACACACTCACTCCACCTTTAACCAGCTATTCATGCCACGATATTTGGTCTTATGCCATTTGACAGTCTTTGTCAAAAGCCTTCTAGAAATCCCAACCAGCCAGAAAAGTTTCTTCACAAGTTTAAAGATATTCAGTAGACTACAGTGTTCCAAACTGCCACTGAGAGTGCTTTCTTAAACTGCTAATCAAAACATGGAACAGACTCTTGGAGGCAAGATCTCATTTTGAAACTAAAACAAATTATAATTGAGAGGATTCTTTCTCCCCAGACTTCCCTGTATATAGCTTTTTTTTTTTTTTTTTTTTTTTTTTTTTTTTGGTGACCTGAAGAGCCTATCCCAAAATCCAAGATCCCTGAGGATGTACGTCCATGCCTAGACAAGATCAAGCACTCTCAAATCATTCCAGCATTCCAGTAGAGAACAGATCAGAAAATGTGTCATAGGAACAGAGGAACAGAGTTGAACTTTGAAGACATGTACGAAAAAGCTTCAAAGACTTCATCTGGCAAGACTTCGGGCCATGTGTTAGATATGGTTTGTTTTTAAAGTGGAGTGATTTGATATTGCAGTGACATCAAAAGTATTTTATAGGGCCAGCTAAATCCTCTTTTCCTCCCTTCAAATTTTGCTAAGACAAATTTTGCTGTATTTCAAAAGACATCTGGATTTCATAGGAAGGATATGAAAATACACAACTACATCACTATAGTACTTCACGGAGCGACGCCCACAAAACGTGTGCCCACGCCATACCCTAGTAAACCACACCAGAATGGGCAGGGACGTAGAGACTTTATTGGGAACAAGAGCGCATCCTTTGCCCTGTTGTGTCAGAGTGCAGGGACGGCCGGCGGGCACCAAACAGCGCGGCTGTGGGCTCCTCACACAGCGCCCCGGGGCTCCCCTCGCGGTGTCCGCAGCCCCGGTGCGCGGTGCCGCGGGCAGGTGCGCCGCTCGGTAGAGCTCTACGCGGGCGGGCGGGGCGCCGTGAGGTCAGTTCCGCCGCGCGGCCCGGCCCGGCCCGGCGCCGGGGGCTCGCTCGCCCTCCCTGCCGGAATGAGCGCCGCAGGGCGGGGCGGCAGCGGCCGCGCAGGACGCGGGGCGGCGCTGCGCTCCTCCTGTGTCCGGAGACAACGGGAGAGGCGGCGGCGGCCGGCGGGGTCAGCGCCGAGGGAGGCCGCCCTTTCTTCATCCCCCTCGTCCCGCTCCGAGCCAGGTGAGGCCCCGTCCCGCGGCTCCCGCCGCCCTCCCTCCCTGCCCGCCCGCGCGGGGCTGCGGGGCCGGGGCGGGCGCGGCGCGCGGTGCTGCCCCCTGCGGGCGGGCGGCGGCAGTGCGCGGCGGCGGCGGGCGGAGGGTGCGCGGCCCGCGCAGCGCCTTCCCCTCAGCGCATCGCCGCGGAACCGCGCCCCGGGGCCGCGCACAGAGCGGCTGCCACACCCGGGGAGCCTCCCTTCCGCGGACAGGCGGCCCCGCCGGGGCCCGGGGGGTCTGCGTGCCCAAGAAAAGGAGGGTTTTGGTGCTTGCTGTCTCGTGGACGCCATCAGGCCGCTTTGGACTCGTCTGGACTGAAGCTGTTGTCCAGGTTTGTCGTCTTGGTCATCCTCCTGAAGAAAAGGAGCTCTCGGGTTAGTAAATGTATTCATGAGCAAAATAGAACATCCTGTGTTTTGTGTGCAAATGAGGTTCTTTTGAGTATTTGGGCATCAGATTGGCTTAATTGAATTCCATATTGAATTTTGTTGCAAGACAGTCTATCATTGGAAAGTGTTACATTGAACACTTAAAATAATTTAGACATATAAACCGATTTTCTTCTAAGTAAATAATCCAGTGTAATCGTAGCCAAAATGTCCTGCAATGTACATTTAATTTAAAAAGTCTGGTTTATGTTTAAGAAGACTAATGGTGTTTTAGAGGATTTTTTAGCAGTCTGTTGTGCATTGTTACTGCAGTAGATGGTTACAGTCAAGGCTCTTTTCTTGCACATACAAACAGTACGTGGCTAGTTTTAGCAGGAATTAAATCTGTGGAAATCAATTTTAACATCTACATGAGTGCTTTGAGATCTGGGCATGGAGGGATATGTGCTTTTAATGGGACTCTTCCCTCTCTGCTCCCATTTTCTTCAGTGCCATACTTTGCTGTATTTCCTACAGGCCTTAGAACTCAAGAGTAGGGTAATGCTTTATACTAGTCAGTATGCTCTGGATATACAGAAAGACTTTGAAAATCGTTGTAAATTGTGTGAAATGATGAAATGAGCAGCACAGATTAAAAAGAATTGATCATACATGTAATGATAAACAACTCTATAAACGTCTCTGAGCACTCTGTAGAATACTGCTTTTGATACAGTAGTTATTTGGTAATGCCTTGTTTAGCTTATTGCAGGAAGACCACCATGCAGTTGAGTGATATGACAGAAATGTGTATCTTTCAGATACAAATAAAGCTAGGCCTTGTTCCTAGAGCCGCAGGGAAGCAGACCTCCATTTCAGTAGAATGCTGCATGGTACATACATGTATCTGTGTCCATACAATGCCAAGAAACGTTAGTAGATTGGACAATTTTTCACTTATGCATTCAAAAACTAATGATTTCCTTTCAATCGGTGTTTTGCATGACTTTATAAGTAATAAACATTTTAAGTGTAATTGATTTTTTTCTGTAGAGTGAAAGAACTGTATATCTTTTAATAAAAATGAGCTCTAAAAACTTGGTGCATGGTCCTTGCTCTTCTTAATTGTCTGCATTGTCATTCCTCATTCATTTTGTTTTGAAAAACCTCGTGAATTTTAGCTAAAACCCAAGAACTGTTACGACTGTGTGATTAGCTGTTACTGTGAGACAAAATGGCTTTTTAAGAAGAAATACTTGTAGACAGAATTTCTTTGGTGTATTTGAATAGTTTGTTTTTAATACAAAATTAATTATTTTAATTAATACAATATGTAATACTTGAGTGAAGCACCTTGGCTCTCTCCCAGTCATTAGGCCTAAAATTAGTGACTGGTAATTGGCAGCTGTGTAGTTGGGTCAGTAGAACAGTTAACTCTGCTGAACAGAGATAGTCGATGCTAAACAGTCAATATCAATACATATATATATATATAAAATTGTAATATACAGGGCAAGGCAAGGCAATTTTAAGCATGCACCGAGATTTAAATTTTTCACAGTGGCTCAGATTTTATACACTGCATCATTCTGATGCAGATTGTCTTCCAATTCTGTTTAAACTTCTTTTTTTTACAGATGACTTATATGGTCTTTTCAGTACCAAAGCACATCCCGATTATTGGCTGCAGTCTATGATCTTTGTGAGAGGTGTGTGCTTTGCTGAAGTAAGGGCTCATATTTGATCACATAGGCTAAATGCATCCTGTTCATCACACCCTTTTCATTGATTGCAGCATCTAGTTTGAACTAGAAGCTCAAGCCCTGGAATATACGTGTTCTTCTTTGAAACGATGAACAAATTTTCAATGTATTTTCAATGTAAATAGAAATTTCCAGTCTGAAAGTGGCCACATCACTGTTTTGTAACCTGCTGCAGTGCAAAAACCCTTATACTGGTTGAATTTGGCATAGTCGGGCTGCAGAGGATGGTGTGTCCTATTTTCCTTTGTTTTAGTGGACCTTTGTTTTTTAGCCTTTATGTACATGGAATATCCACAGTTCGCAATGCCTTTTAATTCCTGTGGATCTGTTAATCTCTTGTGTCTGGAGCAGCAAAGTTCAAGATAGGATACTGTTGTGTGAAAGGCGGAAATATTTATATTGTTGAATGCCTGACCTTTTAATGTCACTGAATTGCAGGTGTTTGGTAGGAGTGAATGGGAAAATTTGGTTTATCTTTCTTGTGATGTCTTTTTTCCATGTGCTTCTTTTTTTTAATTTTTTTTCACCCCCAAACTAGAGTCTCTAATTTTTTTAAATGATTCCTAACATGGGTACTTTGTAGTGTTTCTGAATATTTTAATTTTTTTTTTCTGAATTAATTCCTGTGAAGACAGTGACTGGAATTGATTTTGACAATCTTAGCATCTGTTATTTCATTTTTCATCCATCCCATTCCTCTGTTTGCCATTGAGTCTCTTTGTAGACTTCGAGGTCTTCCTATCTTTGTGTTGGTCTGTTGCATATGATTATATGATTATAACCTGAAAAATCAACTATCCATCTTTTAATTAAATCTTCTGAAGCATGTTTCTGCCTACCCTTCAAATACCAAAAAAAATCTTTAGGGGAATTCCTCCCCCTCCTCACCTCCCCCAGTGGTATGGAGTGAATGTATATAATGTTCACCTCCCTGTGCACATTGTTGATCACGGCTTTCTGAAGTAACCAGACTGATTTTTTTTTTTTTAATACAAGTGTGAAATTATAATATAATTTTGGGCTTGTTTTAGCCAAAATAAGTATTAATTGGAGCTGTTTGTATCAAAACCTATGTTATTAACTGGTCAGTGTTCTGGGTACATGATGAAAAACTAGCTAGGAAGACAGCAGAAATGTTACTTTGACATCACTTGGTTATTCCGTTCTTTTTTTTACCTTCTACTGGGTCTGGTTGAGATGGAGTTAAATTTCTTGAAAGCTGCCTCTACAGTGCTGTGCTTTGGATCTGGCTAAAACAGTCTTGGTAACTAACACACTGGTGTTTGGTTGTTGCTGAACAATGTTTGCACAATGTCAAAGTTTTCTTCCCCCCCTCACTCTAGTGAGTAGGCATGGGGTGGGCAAGAGATTGTGAGGCCACAAAGCTGGGACAGCTGCTCAGAATTGGTCTGGGGGATAGTCCATGTCTTACAATGTTATGCTCAGCCATGAAAACTGGACGTAGAGGAAGAAGGGCAGAGCAGATTTGCCCTCCAGGGTGCCTGCTGCTTGGAGACTGGATAGGCATTGGTTTACTTGTGGAAGATGGTGAGTAATTTCCCTTATGCCACCTCCTTGCTTCTTTGCTTTTGTTAAACTGCCTTTGTCCTGACCCATAAACTTTCCTGTGCTGCTTCTCTACTTCACTCTCCTTGTTACTGAGGGAGGGGAGGGTGGGACAGCAGCAAGCAGTTCTGTCTGTGGCTGCTCAGCTGCTGCCTGGAATCAACCTCAGCACATACGGAGCGCAGGCACACACCAACGCTTGAAACCTGCATTCTAGCAACATGGTATTTGTCACAGGTCTGCGTGAAAGTGTGGTTTTGGGCTTAAACCACGGCAGACTTTCCTACATATAGCTGTTTGAATTAGGAAAATTTGGAAGGATCACTAGCCTGTTCTTTGAATTGCCTCTGTTAAATTTTTCTGGCATAGTCTTGGACTGAGAAGCCCAGAACTAGTAAATTCAAGTCTTCTGAAAATGTTGGACTGTATTTCTTGTCATTTCCTGCCCTTTAAAGGTTATGGTTTTTTTTTCATGTTCTCTCATAAAGTGGAATCTACAGAGTTTAAAAAATACAAGAAAATTCTCTGGGTTTATACTTTTTTTTTTTTTGTGGTCAAGGATGTTGATGGCATAATTTCTCTATACTTAACTTTCAGTTAGTTCACATGGAGGGCAGTTTCAGTATTAATAGATGTTAACAGCAGAGAAAGGCAAATAGTGATACAATTTCGTCATTTCCTTTTAAATGCCATATTGCTTCTTTCTTAAAGCTGTATAGAAATGCATAAAGCATCTTTGGTCCAGATCTTGAGCTTATCAAGATCTCTTACCATCTTTTTCCTGAAATAAAACAGTGGATGTCCTGAACAAAGGCCTACCACCACACTTGTGTGTCAGTGGGTTAATCTTTTGTCTAGAAAGTGGTAGTAGCCTGGGAAGGATGTTCCATCTGAACTACAGCAAATGTTTTACTTTTGTTTCCTCTTTTGAATCGGGGTAATAGAGCACATAATGTCATCCACATTAGAATTGCTTGAAGAAAATTCTCCAGATCATGATACAGCAGTCATGTATACTTTCCTCCTTCCTGCAAGGCTGCTATTGATTTGTTTTTCACACTGTGTGTATTTTCACATCTGTCTGCATTGTAATGAGATGAGATTGCTACATTTCTAGAACTACCCACTAAGGAGTTTTAGTGTACACCTATCTATCTGCTTTAGGGTGAAAAGCTTGTAATGTTGTCCCTAACCAATTTTTGAACTTATTTTTCCTCTTATTTTTGGTTACATCAGAATACTTTGAAGAGGCCCATCTTTAGGACAGCATTGCTATAGTAGTTACGGATATTCATGGCGTACAAGGAAGATCATGGAATCACTGAGTAGTTTGTGTTGAAAGAGACCTAGTTCAACCTCCTGCCATGAGAAAGAATGCTTTCCATTAGACCAGATTGCTCAGGGCTCCATCCAACCTGGCCTTGAACACGACCAGGGATGGGGCATCCACAGCTTCTCTGCACATCCTGTTCCAGTGCCTCACCACCCTCACAGGAATGAATTTCTTCCTGATACCTAATTTTAGTCTACCTTTCTTCAGCTTGAAGCCATTCCCCCTTGTAAAAGTCCCTCTCCAGCCTTCTTGAAAGTCCTCTCTTACTGGAAGGTGCTATATGGTCTCAGTGAAGCTGCCTCTTTAGGCTGGACAACCCCAGCTCTCTGAGCTTGTCCTCCTAGGAGGAGTGCTTCAACCCTGTGATCAGCTTCGAATGGCTCCAGAGGAGAGCCATCTTCCTTGTGTTGGGGGCCCCAAAGCTGGATGCAGCAGCAGTCCAGGTGGAGTTTCATGAGAGCAGAGTGGGAGAATTGCCTCCTTTCACCTGCTGGCTATGCTGCTTTTGAGGCAGTGCAGGGTATGTTTGCTTTCTGGGCTGTGAGCACATAAGATGCAGGAAAACCTTGGCTCAGATATCTAGTCCTGTCAAGCCATTGGGAGGATCACACAATTATTTATGCTGGAAAAAACTTACAAGATCATCAAATCCAACCTGTAACCTAGCACTGCAAAGCCAACCACTAAACCATATCCTTGAGTGCCCAGTCTACATGTTTTTAATATCACCAGGGATGGTAACTCCACCACTTCTGTGGGTAACCTGTTCCAATTCCTGACAACCTTTTCAATGAAAAATTTTTCTTAATATTCAGTCTAAACGTGCTCTGGTGCAACTGGAGGCAATTTCTTCTCTTCCTGTCACTTCACTGTCTGGGAGAAGAGGCTGACACCCACCTGGCACAGACTCCTTTCAAGTAGTTACAGAGAGCAGTAAGGTCTCCCCTGAGCCCCATTTTCTCCAGGCTTGGCACCCTCGGCTCCCTCAGCCACTCCTTGTAAGGTTTACTCTGTAGACCTTGCACCAGCTCCATCACCCTTCTCTGGACTCACTCAGGCACCTCAATGTCTTTCCAGTTTAATTTCTTGATTAGTGTATGATTATTGTGATGGGAAGCTGCTTAAGTGAACTCAGCACTGTGCTTTTGGAGTCCGTGATCTCTGTAGGTAGACTGGGTGAGGATCTGGACTTCAGAAGCAGAAGCCTTTTGTGGGGTGTATTGAAAAATAGAAATAACCTCATGCAGTTGAGTCTGTTTGTGATTGCAAGTGTGTACAACAGTATGTCTAGAACTAATGATATTAGAATAAGAAAGGTTTTGACTGGACTTCATGTGTGTCTCAAAAGCCTAATTAGATTGTTTATTTTCCAAATAATAGTGGTCTCATAGTCTTGCCAAAATCTTAAAGGTTATTTTTCTTGTTAAATATAGTAGAGAGACATAATGCTGGAATCTGTGAGGTAAATATATTGCATGTGTTAATTTGGAGTTTTGCAGTGATATTACTGATCTCCTTCTTCCTTATGTTGCATCATTTATTTTGCTTGATTGACATTCTCTTTTATTAGAATGAAGTGAATTATTTATATGTTTATCCATCTATATAGAAGTGACTACACTGTAATATTAATAGAAGAGAAAGTAATTAATTTTGCAGCCACAAATTGTTTTGACTTCATTACTTTGAGAACATGTGAAGCATAAATCACATCTTGCTATGAATTAGTGTTCAAGACTGTATCTGAAACATTGGCACTGATTAGAAAAGAATTTCCTTTTGTATGCCAGGAATTTCCATGCTAACTTAAAAATTATTTTATTTAAAGACATTAATTATTTTTAAACATTTATTATGAAAAAAACTATTTTTATTTAAAAGCTAATAGTTCTGTGTTTCTAGTAACCATCGTAGCCACATACTGTTTCCCTGCTATTCACACATGAATGGCACTTGCAGTGTTTCCTGATATCTTGTCCTGAGTTGAGGGCTGTATATGAACTGAAATAATACTCTGCTCTCAGTTCAGTTATCAAGTATCTTGTTTGGCTTATAAATATATTTCTTAAGTGTAAAATTTTTCATTACATGGGAGAAATACCATGAACTCTTTAGGTTTTGATGCATGGCAGGTAATTTTATGAATTCAGGAACATTTTGAATGAGAGCAAATGTTAATTATTTGATTTTGTATGTTTTAGAGTTATTGGTTGTATGTGCAGAATACAATCGATGGTATAATAACAGTAGACTTGCACTCTGTAATTCAGCTGTAGTCCACTAATAGTTCAATTATTAGTTCATTGTATTTCAGTGATCACTGAATCTTAATTGATTTAATGTTCTGCTTTTTATTCTTTAGTGCTGCAAGCTGATTGACTAAGAACATGGAATATAATATGGATGCAGTTGCTTGAACATCATTTCTTCCAAAGCTTGTATTCTGCAGATTGTTGGCCTGAATGATTGATTGATAAGCAACATACACAAGACTAATACCAAGAAAACATTCTGTCTCTTGCTGCTGTGTTTAATGAAAATGATGCAGAGTTGCTTCTTCTGAAATGCAGTTGAAAAAAATGAGGGAAATTTTACCAAGATTGTACCCTGGCCAAATTAATGATAAAAATAATTCTTTAACTACATCCCCAAAGCAATCTGATGATAAAACAAATTTGTCAAAAGGGGCAGATGACCAAAACTGCTGTTACCAAGGAACTGAGGCTGAGAACAATAAGTTGTCACTGATAAGCTGTATAAAATGCAGAAATGTTCAGAAAATTTCAATGCAAGATATAGAAAAGCATAAGAAGCTTGAGTGGACTGAAGACAAAAAATTCATCTGCAAAAAGTGCAGTCATATTAAACCACCAGCTTTCAGTTTTTTTCCTGAGGGTGCCAGTGCTGCAGACTATGAAAAACATGAAAGAAAAACCCCAAGTAAAACCCAGAAAATGTTTAAAGTAAAAAATTTTCTGCCAGGTAAATACTACTGTGATAAATGCAGATTTTCAACAAAGGATCCTTTACAGTATAAAAAGCATATAGGACAACATGAAGAAATTAAGTTTCTTTGTTCCCACTGTAGTTATGTATCCTACACCAAAGGAGAATTCCAGAGACATTTGGTGAAACACACTGGAACCTTTCCATATCAGTGTGAGTACTGTGAATATGGTGCTGTTAGGCATGACTATATAGTTAAACATACGAGAAGAGTACATGAAACACCCAGAAAACAACTGTCAAATACTCTCATGAGCCACAAGCAAAAGAAGCAGAGTCAAAGCACTTTATGTAAAAAGCAGAAATACAATAAAATTCCTCTCCAAAATGAACTTTCAAATTTGTCTTCAAAGATGATTTGTGAGATTCCAAGTAAAGCAACTAAAACAGTGTGCTCATCTCAAAATGTAGAATGTAGGATAAACACGGACAAGACAATATTGGAGCCATCTGAAATGAGTGTATGTGAGAATCAAAGTGTGGAGGTTGAGGTTTATTCTCCAAAAACAGAGCCTTTACAGCCTGGGATGCCTTTAACAGTAATTGCACCATCTGAACTTGTAGTTCCTTCCAACTGTTTAGCTCAGATCGTAGAGCTTAAAATAGTGAATGGAGCACAACAGCTGGTTCTTAAACTAATTCCGATGAAAGAAGCAACTTATAAACCTGTGAACTGTGCTGAAGAGGAACTTGAGAGTCAAGGTATAGAACGATCTGCAGAAGTAAAAAATCCATCTTCTGTGTGTCAAAATGAGTTACTAACTATGGAAGTGAATGTAAACAAATTATCCAGTGTTAGTAACCAGCTTAACTTGGATAGTACGTATGACAAGAATACTGAATGTTTTAGTTCTTCTGATTCTCAACTCTCAGGCTATAGCTCTGTATCTATACAGAGGGAAGATACATCAAAATTTTGCTTTCATTTGGTGAAAGGTATTGATGTCCATTCAGGTGTTCTAGAACTTTGTTCTCCATCTCTGGTGATGAACAGTACTGAAAAAAAAAGTGGTCTTAAATCCTCAAGGGGGAAAGTAGGTGCAAAAAATAGTGATCTGTGTTGTTACGAAGAAGGTGAAGATACATACCATCCAAAATACACTGAAGTTAAGAGTTACAAGAATGTTTCAGTAGAAGCTGCTCAGGAGGGCAAGAATTCTGCTGTTGGTAAAGAAAAGGATACATTGTCTGTGAGGAGAGTTGACAAAGAACTTAGGGGTCTGCCAGTCAGTTCTACTGAAGCGCATTTATTTGGAAAGGGTTTTGATAAAAAATCTATTACATCTTCTGAAGCAGGAAAAAACTTCCACGTTACTAAAACTCCAGCTTTTGAGGATATAACTTTTGGCTTGAGCAAAGTAAAGAGAACTGAAACCATAAGTCAAAGGAGTAGTCATCCTCTGGAGTCACTAGAACTGCAGAAGATGGAAAATAAAGGCAATCCTTTTGAAGGACCTGTTATTTCTTCTGTATTTTCTCTTAGCTCTGGGGCTAAAAACGTTCCAGAGGATGTCAGATGGGATGACACAACACGCAGGAAGAAATCAGCAACATTGCTGTGTAGAAAGATTGCTCAACTCATGAATGCTGCTGAACCTAAAATGAAATCCATGCCCTTGAGATGTCAGGCTTCTAGTAAAAAGTTGCTTTTACCTCAAGAAAGTTCAGCAAGCTGTGCCCCTGAAGTGGAGCAACCTTCAACTGTGTCTGAAGTGCATGGTGAAAGAAGTGTGGTTAGTACTAAAGGACATAGTGAAGATCAGCTCTTTGCATTTGCAAGAACTTCTAAAAATAGGGTAACTAAAAATTCCCACGTTGCTACCCCAGTGTTTATCCCCAAAGGGACAATGCTGAGAGTGCTGAATGCTACTAGCAGTAAAAGCTCATATGGAATAGATAACAGGAGTGAATCATCAGCTCCTGTGCATAATGAAATGTTTCTGCCTCGCCCAGTCCCCATCAGTGTTTCTGAGACACTTAGCAGTAATTTCCCATGTTTGCCTAAGCAGAGTGAACCTAGTGCTGAGTCCCAAACTATATCACTCAGGCAAAGACCAAAGCGAGAGGCAAGTGCTAAAAATAACAGCAAGCAAGCTGGTGTACCATTTCATAAGAGCAGTGATGTGAGCAAACAAAGCAAGCCCTATTCAAAAAGTCAGCTAAGTCCCAAAAATAAGGCAAAACAAGCAAGCTTCAGAGAACTTCCTAAGAGGAAAACAAGAGCTCAGCTGGAAACCACTTCAGGTTCTGATACGTCATACCTGTTGACAGCAAGACGTCTTCGACTTGTTCCTGTGAAAATGAATCAGTTGATAAAATGTCCTCGTCGTAATCAGCCAGTTGTGGTGCTGAACCACCCTGATGTCGATTCACCAGAGATAATTAATGTCATGAAGACTATCAACAAGTATAAAGGTCAAGTCCTGAAAGTAGTTCTGTCAGAAAGGACAAGAAGTTGTCTTGGTGTCAAACGTTATCGAAAGCGTCTTACTCTTCAGAATGCTGAGGCAGGAAACCAAGCAAAAAAGCAGAGTATGCTAAAAATGAAGCTAAAAAAGACCCACAAAAACAACTACCAAGTGGTGGAAACTTCACCAGCTGAAGCACTTCAGTGTCTGTTTAAGTGTTGGTTTTGTGGAAGAGTGTATATGGACCAAGAAGAATGGATAAGTCATGGACAGAGGCACTTAATAGAGGCAACCAAGGGTTGGGATGTTCTTTCTCATCACGCAAAAAAACATTAAGTGAGACCCTAGGAGAGATTTCCCCTCTTGCTTTTAATGAATGACACTAACTTGCTTGTAATGGAGGGTGGAAATTACTGCTTTATTTTGCCAAAAGTCCTCTACTGTTAGCAAAGTGAAGAGAGTAGAGGTACAGAGAGATAGAGAAGCTGATAGTGAGGATTAAGCGCTACTTTGCACTCTTGTGTTTGAGATTTGTTTTGGAGGTCAGCTTCATCTGTTCCACAGGAGAAATTTGAAGAAGATTTGCTATGCAAACATCTTTCTAATTACCTTAGGATACTGTGCTGTATGTGGTTTGTGCTAGGTCAGTATGGATTAAAATCTTAGATGATGAGATCTTTGTAAATTTAACAGGATTTAGTTTGCTTTATTACAGCATGGTGTTTCAGAGATCGAGCACATCTGTATGGAAATACACCTTTGGTACTCTGTGAGCAGCAAGTGTATGTCATAGGTCTTAGTGGCAAATTAGGCACTATGCATAAAAAGTAAAATTTAAATGCAAGTGCTCTGTTTGAGTGAAATAAAAACATTTCCGCTGACTTCAGAGCATGTACAAGGGTGTAAATGAAAAATCTATGGAATCAGTTACTCTTGCTAGATCAGACAGCACTAAAAAAATTAATTTTGTTTAGTACTGAGTCCTTAGCTAGACTGTATTGTGTAGGTGCGAGGGAGCAGAACGCTGTCAGGATTCTGTACCATCAAGCCAGAGCTAGCATCAGGCTTGGGCTGATAGTGAAAAGCACTTCTCTGTACAGCCTCAAGGCTGTTCTGAAATAGTATTAGCCAAACATAAACCCTCTACCACCTTGTGCATGACAGACACATTTACAGACTCAGTATTTGGTTAGAACTCTAATTGGCGAGTTTATTTACTGGGGAACTTGTTGAAGACTTTTCAAAATGAAAAGCCATGTTGCACAGCTTTGACATTGACAGTGTTGAACCAGATTTTCAGTGCAATCTTCATCATGCTTAAGAATTTAGATGTTACAATTTATTTTTTGTAGGCCTCAAATTCATACAAGCATGTGCCTAGTTACAGATTATGTCTGATGTGTACTGACTTCAGTGCAGTGTAAACATTGCTCAGTTGCTTAAACACTTCTCTAAATCAGGGCCAAATTACAGTTTTTTAGTAAAAAAGAAGGACGGGATGACACTGAAGTTACTGTTTCTGTATGTGAGCTGTGGATGTTTCTCTTCGTATTGTCAATTTTAAATAATTTTAGAACCATATAGAATGAAGTATATTGAAGCACATACTTTTAATTAAAATAATGTGTTACAGTTTTAGAAATATGAAAATCAATACTGACTCTAATGCTGGATGTGTGTTCTATGTTTGAACTGGGACTTCTCTGGTAAACTGGTAGTCCCTAACTCTTTTCATTGATGGTGCATTTTTGTAAACAGTTTAGCTGGGAATATTTTTTTATATACTCCAGCAGATTATACATTGTTTTGATAAAATATTTATCATGTCTACATTGGAATGTAAATATTTTAAAACTACATCTGACTGAGGTTTATTTTCAAAACTTATTGATTTCCCATAATTTTGCAATATAGTGTTAAAATCCTTCTGATAGCTGGTGCTTTAAGTCAGATCTTTTTTCATCGTGTACACATGGAAAGTTTTTGTATCATTTATATTACACTAACCTATTCCACAGAACAAACTTTGTTTTTCCTGTTTTGTCAATAATAAGGAAATGACAGTTCTCATTTTGTATTCAAATGGAATTATATTTTTTTAGATGGGTACACTAGAGGGTTTTTTTTTCCGCTTCATATACTTTGATGCCAAACCTAACAGTTCTATTTGCATTTTCAATGGTGAAAATAGTTTCCATTTTAAAATTATAGTGTATCATATACAATAAATACTGAAATGGTTAACATGAAAAACCCGGTGGTTAGCATTCCTGCTTTGTTTTAATTCCTTCAGTCCAGGTTACTGGTTGAATTAATTTTGTTTCCGTAGAAGCTAGCAAAAAAATAGTTTTGAATTTGCTTTGTAGGAGTTGCCACTGGCAAAATCAGAACCTTGCTCATGGAAGCTGTACTGGGGGAGATTGGGGAAGTGTTGCTGCTCAGCTTTGTGAACCCTGAGTTTTTTAAGTATACTAAGTAATGCTTGTCTTCTGCAAAGCTCTGTATGTCACTGCCATAATCTGTTATCTAAATTGTTTAAGTTTTGAGGTTTTTAAGGTTTTTAGTTTAGTTTTTTTTTTTTTTGTTTCAACATGAAAACGTTTTGTAAGTTGAATTGTATTATGGTTATGAAATTCTTAAAGCAGATTATGTCATGCTTTTTTATGAACTCTGCTAAACTCTATTTTAACAGCTTCTGTTTTGTTACTTTTATTAGATTAAATTATGTCAGAATAATTTCTTTCAAGTTTAATTTTCCTTCAGTCTCATCAGTTAGAAATGATTTACAGTGGATGTTTTCTTCCCTTTTGATGCAGCATTGAGAAATAAAAAGGTTGCAAGAAAATAACAATCAACTGCTAAATTTTTTTAGAGCTAGTTTGTGCCACTACATAATACGTCATAAATTGGGTTGGAATGTTGTGGTTTTGGGGTTGAGTGGTTTTGTTCTTCTTGTTCCTATTCTATAAGGATAAAGTAACTGAGGTTCCTTTTTTGGTGTATTACAACAACCTAGTCAAACTTCTGAGTGTGGTTAGGAAGATTATCAATGCTGTGCAGAAAAATCCCTTCATGTACATACGGAAGTGTAGTTTGCCTTCATGTACATTCAGAATTTAGCTAGGCTTCCAAAACTCAGATTGTATGAATAAATTCTTCTCTATTTTTTTTCTGGAAAAATAATCGCATTCTCATGTTCTTTGCTCATACACATGGAGCATGTTTTCTGGCTGGTTTCGAAGTACATCTGCTCTTCCTATTTAAGATTTTTATCTCTACATTTGTACCTGGTATGAATTAAAAGTGACTTTGCATAATGGTCCTAGCATGTAAGTGAAGGCTCAGGTATGGAATACAAATATCTGCTACTTAAGCTAAATAATAAATGCTCATTGAATAATAGAATTTGCATAATTACAGCTAGCTTTAAAATCTCCAATGCCTATAAAGCATCAGCTGACACTAACTTCAGTGGCAGCTGAGCACAGCTTGTTGTTGAGCAAACGTATGTACACCATATGAAATTGTTAGACAGTGAGAACTCTGACACACAGTGTTTCATGTGTATTTTTAAAAGCAAAAATATTTATTTAATGACTGTGGTATTGTGCTGGTACACTTTATTAGGTTTTGCTACTTAGTGGAGTTTCAGTGACATTTAGGTAAGCAAGGGCGAGTTTCATTTTCATCTTAAGTTAGAAGGTAGAGTGCAAGATAAGCAAATTGGTCAGTTGTTGCCAAGATACCAGGAGTCAGTCTCAACACCTTCCTGTGAATTAATACGTTGACATATTCTTTACTTGGATCCTCAAAGTGAAAATGCAACAATCAAGAAATGGAGTAGATCTGAAAAATGCTTCATTATATTGTGGGGAGCCCCTTGCTCAAAAGGCAAATCAGATTCTTGAGACATTTCAATAAGTGTTCTATTTATATCTATACGGATGAATCAGTAACAGCAGGGCAGAAAACGTCAGGATGACTTGAATGGATGTGTGAGGTAGCATTGTTCTCTGTGGTTTCCTGACTGATCCTTTCCGTCAATGAGTGTTATGGGAACACATTTGTAGAAGTCAATGATCTCTTCCACGGAATTAAATTTCTGAGGGGGGAAAGACAGTAATCAGTGACTGAAAATGAAATTGCTAGATGATTTAATCTATAACTTTAAAATACTTGCAAATGACAGTATTAAAAATAGGTAACATTTTGCATGGAATTATGATTAGATGAAAGCAATTCTAAAAGGAAAAGCACCATATTTTGATTCTCATACTGTTTTGTGTCTCTGTTGTGTGCTTCTCTGTCGTGTGCATGATAAAGCAACTAACTCCTTAGGGCGAAAAGGGAGCATGTCTAGGCCCTGGTAAAGCAGTATCACCTATAAAAGGTTGTGATGCCAGATGTGATGATAGATCTTGAAATGATGAAGCAAATATAAATTGTTACTAGCTTTTTCCTGCCACAAGTTACACTTAATTAGCAGTACATGATGTTTTACACTGCGAGTTTCAATGTACCTTATTAAATGTACACTTTGTTTTCCCATTCAGTTTATTGAGTTGCTATAAAATCCCTTTGAAGTATGGAACAAGAAGCATCTTGTTCTCTCACGCCCAAAAATTTACATTCTCTAAGTGACTCCTAAAGTGATAAAGGTCTGGTTCAAAGTTGCTGACCTGATCAGATGGTAACAGAAAGCTACCCAAGGTGTTTATTCTCATGTGGCCTAGTGGAAGAATCCCATTCCAATGATAAGCAGTCCTTCAGTTTAAATCGTTCTCTTCCCTGTGTGCACCTTCTAAGCTCTCCTCACACCACAGGCTCTCATCATATCACTGTTTTATTTTTGAGTTAGTCTTTGTACTCATTGGTATTAAACCACCAGAACTGCACACAGTAATGAAAGCTTGCTTTGACATTAATACTTATCACCTATTTATATAACATTTACTGTAAGCATGGCTCTTCATTGTACACCTGGTCGTGTCCCATGGTAGTGTCTCTCACCTCCACCTGATTCACACCTAGTTTATAACAACAGAATCTGATTAAGGATATGGTTTAATGAAACTGTTTCTGTATGAAAATGAAAATTATTTGATCTCAAAGCCAATATGGTAATTTTTAAAAGTTTTGTTTTGATAATTCTTATTCATATGCATTTGTTTTATTTTGCTGTTTTGTCTTTGCTTATGTTCAAAGTCACTGTTGCTACTGAAAACTGAGGTAAAACTGGTCAGTATTTCATGCCTTATGAAAGTAATCCTTACTTTTTTTATTCTAAAAGGCACCAGTTCTTTTCCTGTTTTTGAGTGTTTTCTGTTGTTTGGGAAGTTAAAATGTCTACTGTAATTGTTCATCTGCTTTGGCAATTTAATTAGGATTCATTAGGTTAATGCTACATTGTTCATTTTTCTAGCTCTTTGTAACGGGTGAAGAATGTCTCAGAATTTTTTGTCCTCAGCTCTTTTAATGGAGCTCCACATTTTGTTAGGCATAAAGACATCTAAAGACATAAGGATGAAGAAAACTCAGTATTTGATTTGTTTCACTGTTTGAAGACACTCAGCCCATCTCTGCTGTCATAGGAATTTCCTGTCTGCAGGTTGCCAGACTGTTCTGGGAAGGTAGGAATAGGATCTCAAAGGTTGCTCATGAAAGCTGTAGTTCTGAATTGTGTTGGGAAGGTGGGAACTCTGGGCTATGTTGCACATCCTGAATGAGACCGTTCATCCCTGAGCTGTCATTTAAGCTGTGGACAAGATACTTATCTTGAAAACATCTCTCAGTTGAAGGTGTGGGCTGTTTGTTGTGCCTCTTTTCCTGGCGGTAACTGTTGACATAACACTGTCAGTGGGAGGCTTTGTGGAAGTGCTCCCTAATCTGCTTGGACTAGCCAGGCCAGTTTGGTGGCTGCTGAAGGTAGATGCAGCTAATTCAGTTGGCTCACATGGAAATTAATTAATTAAAGTGAAATGGTGTGACTGCTGTGACTGATGGTTTGAAGATGAAGGGTAGCTGCAAATGCAGTGGCGAGGATGGAGAAAGTATCTGTGGCTGGAACAAGGAGATCCAGAGATACACATTAGGCTCTGCTCTAAACTTCTTTGTAAAGCAGATACCAAACTGAAGAGGAGCCTACTTCTGCTTTTCATTTTAATGCATTTTTCACTGTGTTGGGAGTTGAGATTGATGTTACGGACATGCTAAAACCATGTATTTTGTGTGTGGTAGATCTAGTTTTGAAAAGGAGATAAAAACATGTAAATTTCATGTCATGATCATCCCTAAATATGAGCAAGGTTTGTATTTCACAATTTTCAAAAGAACTATGCACATGAAAAAAGCCAGTGTTACAGGGTTCTCTGGGTCTTTAATAGTGAAATTATCTGGAGTAGAGAAAGGCAACAGCCAACAATGTAGTGGTTTTGAATGTAAATTCTTGAATTCTGTGTATGTGTCATTTGGGGATCTGATCTTTATAGCTTTGTAATTTGGCCTTTAGAAAGCTCAATGTAGTATATTAAATATGTACATAGGTGTGAACATCTGTGGCTAAATAGCTAGCAAAAGATGTACCTCCACTAAGAGAGTGATTTTCTTTTTTTTTTTTACCCTTCTATTTATTATATTAGAGTTTGATACTAATTTAGCCACATGGAATTTCAGTTACTTTTACCATAAAAACCTGATGATCAACCCCTTTTTTCCCCCCTTGTGACATTATAGGGCTACGTGAGAACTAAGGATAAAAGTACTCATGAGAGTTAAATGAAATACATTTTAAGAAATAACTGTTAATTTTAAATCTTATTTGATGATACATTATGTTAACAACTTGTAGGCTGTATAGTAAAAGTGGAAAGTTGCAATAAGATGGGGAAAATTTGAACAATTATATTTATGTGTAAGGAAAAATGTGTTTTTAATGGATGAAAATAGACTAATTCAAAAGTGAAAACACACTGCAGAAAATCTGTTAAGACCGAACCTCTGAATAAAATCACTAACTGGGGAAAAATGCAATAAGTCTGCAAATATTTGCTGGCATTTAGATTTTTTCTCTTTGGCTGGTGAAAAGGGAATATTCAGCTAATCTAGATAGAGCAGCTAGGTCTGGCTGTACTGCAAAATGTGGTGTAACAAAGGGTATCCCTGCAGAGGGGCGAAGCAGAGTGCTCTGGAAAGCATTTTAATGGGTAGTAAGAACTTACAGGCAGCAATTTGCTGTAATTTACAGCCTTACAAAATGTTTTCACCTTCTTTGGAAAAAAAACCTTAGATGAGCTGCATAAATGAAAGTGACAGTTTTCCAGAAAGAGCCTCTTTAGGGAACCCTTTCAGACTGCCTGAGATGGAAGAAGCTCTTCTGAGCAATGTTCATGCCACTGATTGTTCATTACTGCATATATGCTTTGTGCCCAATTCTATTTTCATGTCTACTGCTGAGAATAATACATAGGAGTGGAAGATTGCCATGTTTGTGATTCCCTGGTATAACACTTAGTTGACCAGCAAAGAAATTGTAATTTTTTTCTGTTGTGCTTGATCTATGGGAAGATTTGAGTTAAAGAGAAAGAATCCTCAAAGAAGAAGGCATAAGGTAGGCATTTATGATTACATATTTGGCCTGGTAGAGCCACGTCTTGGATGAAGTGTGTGTTAACTAGATGCTTGGAATCAAAGGAGGTGTACTTTGCAATTTGCCTTGTCAGTCCAGACCTGCTCTTTAAGGTATATGCTGTCTGTGCAGAATTTGGAACAACAAAGCCATATATTTTGGTGTTTCCTGAGATGGGAGGAATTGTGTTCTCCTTCCTTTTAGTTCAGTAAAAATTGTTCATGTACTGTTCAAGTGATTTTCCAGTTACCTTAATTGTTAAAGCTGTTAACATAATGAAAATTTACTCCTATGTCTTTATTCTCCAGTGAGAATACACATATACTACATTATGCTGTAATGTACCTTATTTCTGTAATTGTTTCTGTTCTGAGCCTATTTGTACTAGGGCCATTACAGGAAGACTAAACAATGTCAGAACCATAGAAAACGGAACTTGTTTTCTCCTAAATCATACTAAAACTCCAGGAAATCATCTGGGAGTTTCAGTTCAGAAATGCAGCCAGTGCTTTACAGAAGAGTGATGGTCACTACAGCAGCACCGGGATGATGGTACCTGCAGTACAGTTCTTGTGCAATCATTCAGCTTCCAAACTGTTTCACTGTCCCCGCATAATGAAGGATTTTTTCTCCCTTTACCGTTAAACCAATGTCCCTGAAGAACAACTTGCCAGTAAACCTTTTTCCTCTTGAATCCTATACCATGTTTTCTAATACAAATTCTAATAAAAATTCTAATAAAAATTTAGACCTATCAAATGGCTTAAATCAGCTTGGATCATTTGTGATTTCAGGCTTTTCAAGTCTATCTATACAAAAGGTAAGTTCTGAAAAGTATTGATGTGCATGAAAAGGATACAATTGTAGATTCAGCTACAGTCTTTGCTGCTTCACCTGGGTTGGATTTGTGTCAGTGATTTACATAATAAATAATCCATAGGAAGTTGCTGCTTTGCTTTTTTGCTCTGCAGCTGAGCATTCTTTAAGTTTTATGTTGTGTTTTTCTATTTTTATTTTTTTTTGTTTTGTTCTGGAAGTATCACATTTTTATAGAGTTGACTCTCAGTTTAATGTTTTTTTTTCTTGTGTGAAAAACTTGCAGATACAATGCTTATTATTTAACCATATATATAGAATAAGAATTAGACTCTTATCATGACTATAATTGAATTTAATTATGTTAAGAAGCATTGCTTGTCTAAAGGGATTTTCTAATTGAAATTTACCATATTTGAAAGACTGATTGCTGGGGACCCACAGGATTTAATTGCTTCTGAATATCCATGACAACTGTTGTCCTATTGCTTCATAGCGCCAGGTCCTGCTGTCAGATATATGGGGCTGTATATATTTGAAAATGCCGCCTTAAATTATCACAAGCTTAAAAATATGTTAAAATAATTTATGTACCAGAAAAGACAAAACTTCTCTTTCCTTTTTACTTTGCAGGTGTTACTTACAGCAGATAGAAGTATTGTGAGTACTTAGGAAATTTTTACATTGATTTAAATCTGAATTTCAGCATGGTATGCAAAATTTGGTTTTAAGTTATTATGAAGCTGCTTGAAACTTGAGACATACTTAAAATGAGTGTAATGTAAAAGAAACTTTAATGAAGCAGCAAGTTTATGTGGGAGAGTTAGTAATGAATGTTTAATATTAAGAACTTGTGAAGTCCAACATAAAAGCTATAGTCTGTAACAGCAGATGGGATGTTACTTACACACTCTCCTCTGAGCCCTGTTCCCAACGCGTATTGTTGGCTTTCTTCCAGAAAACGGACTTTAATGTTGTATACTCTTCTTCCATAATAAACAACCAAAACGTATGGTTCAGACTTTGATTTCTTTGAACAATCTCTAACCAAGAATGTCTCATCCTATATGACACAGATTTAAATTATGCATTGTGTGGTTAGTTTACAGCAAAACTTGTAAGCCATTGTGGAGAGCATACAGAAATTTTCCCCCAAGAGTTTACATCCCAGCTTTTGAGATAAAAGGTACTTACAAGGTTTTTCTGTAACAGTATCTTCTCTGCTTTATGGCGATCGTATTCTCCAACGTACCATTCACATTTGTTTAAATCCTTAATTTTAAGATAGCATAATCAGTGTGTAGAAATTAACAACAACTGGCAGAAGCCAAACCAGATTGTATCTAATCTGCATTTAAAGCACATTCAGCACACTATATAATGGTAATGCATCTATATTGTTAGGAAATGTTAATCAAATTAGACATTGAAAGTCTTATCCATGGTTTCAAGAGCTCATATTAGAATTTCTCAAGGGTGCCGAATGTCCACAGCTTTCAGAGGGGGTCAGGGGTTGTGCCATATAGTGTTAAACCTGTTTCCTAAAAACTTGTCTTTTTATGTAGCAGAGCTGGTCTTTACCTTTTCAGTGGGTTGGATAAGAGATTGCATTTCTTGTTCTGCAAGCAAATGTTTTGATTTATTTTTGCATGCTGCATATGATGTAGGAGGTGGTGGCTTCTTCACTGTCAAATTATCTACACTTAATGTGGAACCTGTAAAAGTAAATTCAGAAGGAAAAAAATTGCATTCTTAAAAGTTACAATTTAATTTTACACTATGTTTTACTTAGTAATTTTGGGAATAGTACTTTTAATTTAGAGTATTGTGATATTAACCTTTAAAATTCAGAGCTATCAGTTATGAATGGTATTGTGCTAATGCAGCAGTGATTTCAGATTAATGGCCCCAGAGATTTAACACATTAGTTTCCTGATGAGTTTTAATTGACTTCAATCTGACAGGCTATTGTGCACATAGCAAAATAATAAGCTGTTAATAAAACAGCAAATGCTGAATAAAATACTAAATATGGGACTAGGATAATGCTTTATTCTGTTCTACTTTCACCTTTTGGGTCCCTTTTATTTGTGTTGGATCGCAGGTGCTGTTACATTAGATCATATTAAAGCCCCTCATTATTCCATTGCCAGCTAGCATTGTTTCTACCAAGCTGTTGAAGCCTCAGATGATTCAGAAGTTCTGCCATGCTGATGAATTTCTGTCTGCTCTGTGACTTGTTTCAATTAACAAATTCAGGACCAAGGGGTGAGATTGCTCTCACATTAAGAAGAAGGTGTTGGTCTTTAGCTGTGTGTGCCTTCTCCATTCCAGTGCTGCTGGTGCAGGGGCCTGGAATAGCTGAAATCCTTCTCCCAAAGCAAATATGATTCACTGTCTGTAGGTTTAGGGCTGCCCTTTACTAGTTAGGCCCAGCTACCCAGGTCTCGGGAGCTAAGGAAGTGCAGGGGTTGGGTCAGGAACATAAGAAGTCTAATATGTAATATGTAATAATATGTAATATGTAATATAGGAGGCCCGGGCTGACTCTGAGGATGTAGTAGAAACAGCCTGAGAAAAGCAAAGGCTTCCTTTCAATGTAAAGATCAAATGTAATTTTTAGGTATATGACATGGGGAAAAATTGTTAATTGAAGATAAAAAACCACCATATCCTGCTGTACAACAGGTAACAGTTTTGTGTGTTTCATGCAATACCGGTGGGAGAAATGATCCAGTGTCTATTCTAAAAGTAAATGAGAAAAATCTGGTTGTCAATGGCTTCCATCTTTTCCTTCTGGTTACTGTCACCAGAGACAGTGCAGTTTGTCAGGGTGGTATTTCATTGTGCTTTATCTGTTCTTGCTTTATCAGTTTTATTATTGTTATGCCGGTATGTACCATATGACAATATTACACTTTACTAGGAAGAATTTCTTTTACAGAGGGGAAGTGATTTTCATTGCATTTCACTGTTCCATTCATATATGTTCCATTCATATGTTCTGATGTATAACTGCATTACTTTTGTTTTTATACAAGATCCACTGATAGCAGTAGACAAAGAGCCATGATCTTCAGCAGGCAATCAGTCTGTTCAGTAATGAAATCTGTTCAAAGGGCCTGGTACCAAACATCAGCCTTTTGTGTCTGCAATCACTTTGACTTGTCAAAATGTGAAATATTCTTACTGTTCAGCTTACTGGATCATGATTTTTAGCATGTTTGTTCACATTTCGTTTTTAGTGGCTATCCCCAGAATTTTTCTTTTTTTTTTTTTTTTTTTTTTTTTAAAAAAAAGCAACATAGTTGCTTTGTGACCTGTGCTGTGTATGTTTTGCAGATTTTTTTTTTCTACTGTGTCTTAAGGTGTGGAACAAGAAGTGTAAAATTCTTTTGCAATGCTTACATACCAAGTCTGGCTGAGATGGAACTAAAAACAGCTTGTCAAAAAATTAGATTTAACAAAATTAATATTTGTTCTTAAAACATTTTTTTAAGCCAAATATAGACTTTAAAGGCAATTGTAGGGTAGCAGGGGAAAGGTTACTTATTTTTTCTCTCCCTATTGCTTCAGGAGGGCAAGGAATTGACAGAGGAAAAAGGATACTCTGCTGTCCCAGAGAGCCTAAAGGAGCAAAAGCCCTGGTCGGAATGGTAGGAAGTGTCTGAAGTGGCAGCAGGAAACAGAGACCTAGATGAGCTTTATGGATTATGTAAAGAAGGATTTTTAGTAGGTATCCGGAGGAGAGTGTGTGGAATTGCACTCCAGCACAAGAAGGAAGTGGCTTAATAGAGGGAGCCCACCAGAATCTGGGAGCTGGGGCCTGTGAAGCAAAGCTGGGGGAGGTGGGCTTGGTTATCCTGGCAGTGACCAAAGTTAATTTGAATCCTACTTGATCTGAACAAATAATGCAGTCCATATGTTCTTCCTGGTGGTATTTGCTTTTACTGTGAGTTCGTGTTATGCACTCATAGGTTCTTGGCACAGTTTTGGGGTTTTTTTTTTTGATAAAAAAGGGCATTTGCAGAGGCAGTTACAGGAGAATAAAAGTATTCTGTGTAGTCACGGACAGTAGGAAGTGTATTGAAAATCCTCAGTGCAGACATACAAACATAGCAACCTGAATCTGTTTCTTACTCTTATTTTTCCATGTTTAGTTTGGCTTTCAAAGCAATCTCTGGTTCTTACCTGAGCTGCAAATATTTTTAGAGCTCCATGTACATTGAGGGCTAGGAAAAAGCAATGAATAAAAGTATTGTCAGAAATATATTTCTTTTAGTGGCAGTGTAAGAGTCAAATTAGAGAGCAAGGCATAGCTGTGCTTCCCCAGAATACCCCTTCCTCTTACTGATGGCCACGTTGGGCCTTACTAGGTTTTGGGTGGTAATATTGTATTTTGTGTTTTTTGACATAGTTCCCTTATTTTCATGAGCCACTTTTTCAAGTTGCATAAAGTTTTGGGTTTTTTGCTCTCCATGAGTTCCACATTTTAACTGCATGTGTATGAAGCACAGTTTGCTTTTGTTCACTGCTTATTTCAGCTGGTGTTCCCAGTGCCTCTATAGGAAGACCCAGGGAGCATTTCTTCCCTGCCTGTTCTGATTATCTAGACCACTCCTGAGTGGCCAGTTAGTATTTTGTTGTGTTACACTGGGAGAAATATTGACCATATAACTTTTATAGCAGAAACAGAATACCAGGGGTCACAAATATGGTCATATTTACTCCATACAATAATTTTATTGCAGAGAAATGCCATGATTGTAAGTAATGCTACATGTATTTGTCTAGGAAAGATGTTAAATCATTCATATACTTCCTATGCTGTCTCCTATATTTTTGGGTTTTGTTGCATATTTCAGAAAAATATAGATTACAGGCAATTAGAAAGGAAAGATTTGTATAGGAAAGCCAGGCATGTATCCTTTGTAAATAAAAATAGAAAATGAGGGGGAAGGAAATGCGGAGGCTGGAGATAGCAGAGCTTCTTTATATAATATATTTAACACCCTATCACAGAAATAGTAGCAGAAATGTAATACAGCAGCATGCTATTAGAGATAAAAATTGGCTGTGCAATTACAATAGCTTGAAAGCAATTCCCAAAGATGGTTCTTGTCATACATCAGGGTAAAACATAATATATCACTGCATGGCATCTGAAAGTGGTATCATCTTGCTGTTATTGCACAGTGAAGTATAATTTTTTAGGGCAGAATGTTTAGTCCTTGAAGCATTCAGTGCAAACTCGTTAAATTCTTCTATTCCTACCTGGCTTCATGAGGATGCTGTTGTGCTTGAAAAGATACTTCAGGTTTCTTGCCCAAATTCGTAACTATTGGTAAAAAAGATAAGAATGTAATACTTCCTCTTTTGTGTAACTCACAGCATCTAGCAACTACTGTGAAATAAATTAAGTAGATTCATACATGAAGGTGAGGCAGTTCAATAGAAAACCTTGAAGGGCTGTAATCAGTCTGGCTTGAATGAGTCAGCTAATGATTTCAGTGGGAAACATTTGGACTACTACTAAATGTTACATGGGGGACGTTACAGGGTTTGTTGGTGCCAAATATGGCTCAACATAATTGTAAATAACGTAGAATGTTGAACTAGAAGTATGTGGAGAGTTCATAAATCCTTTCTATAGGACAGGATAGGCATTGAATTTATTAAGGCAGCTGATTCTATTTCTTGCTGAAAATCAAGAAATGGTGCCTTAATCCACAAAAGAAAATGCCACAGGAAATGATGAACTCATTAACACAAAGTGCAAACATAATGAAAGCCATGTAACTTGTATCTATCTTCAAAGTATTTTGGAGTCACATTTGTCATGGACCTTTGTGCACATTGACACAGTGAGCGGTTTAAGCAACTTTTTCAAAGCTATATGTACATCTATAGAACTGTTTTTAAAACATCGGGGGGTTCAATTTTTATTTTTTTTTTTTAGCTTTAAAAGCCTAAAGCTTTTTTTTAATTAGCCTAAAGCTAATAAAAAGCTTTATTTCAAAATTCTCACCCTCAAAGGTAGAGCAGCAAGTTTGAGTGAAGGATGATGTCCTCTGTGCAGATCTCTTTTGGATATCCTTCTCTTGGTTTTTTAGGTACCAACACTCTTGTTTTCCCCAAAACCTTAAGACATTTGCTTAGGACAAGTGTGATACCCTGGCTCCCCAAATAGCTGTAGCTAAGGCCAAGTTAAGTTTCCTTTTTTCTTGCTGCACATCATCAACTGTTGAGGTCTCTCTAACTTTCTCCATTCTCAGCAGATGAATACCTGAGGGAGGTCTCTTGTTTCAGCTAGAATTTTAATGATGGAATATTTTAGTTTTGGAATATAAAGGAAAGACAACAAATTGTTATATTATTGAATACTGACCTTGGTCTCTTCCAGGTACCTATATAAAATTATAATACGGTAAATATTTTTCTTTGAATTTGTAATTTGAATTTACCCCTACAGACCCAACAATTAAAATAATTTATAGACATTCAATCTTTAATACTCAATCACTTTGTCAAAAACCTGGGCTGAATACTTATCTCAGTCTGCTACCAACAATGAGAATTGAACTTTTTAGAGTTGTAAGTGAACATGTGGTTTACTGCAAAGATCACCATTTCATGATGACTATTGTGTATCAATTTAACTTAACAATATGGTTTTCCTTCACTGATCTTGTATTAAATCAAGATTGATTATGGTTGACTGGAGAGACACTATCCAAAGATTAAAATCAGTCGCTTCTTTTCAGGCTCCTTAACTGACAGTACAATTATTTTTACTGTCATGGCAGATATTTCATTCAAAATCACTGTGTGGAGAGTCTTAATCCAGCGTATTATGTTAAGAATGGTACATTTCTAAAGATCAGAGTTTGACTCCTAAACTTTCACTGTATTTCTGTATTATTTTGATTCACAGATCAAAATGATGGGAATATAATTTGTTTGTTGATTAGATGCATCTAAGACTATAATACATGAATATTAAAGAGAAAAATAGTTTATTCCTTGTAGATGTTGCATTTTGAGCCTTCCTAATAAATTACTTTCCCAATAATGTTTATCTATTACTTAGTAATATCAAGTCTTACTCAGGCTAGCAGGTCCCAGCCCAAGCTTCTGCTTAAAGCATGGAGAACTGTGAGATGAGACCTGGGGTCTCAGAGCTTTAACCAGCTGGGTCTTGCAAACCTCCCAGAATGCAGGTTTCACAGCCTCTCTGGGAAGCCTCTTTCAATACCCTCATAATTAATTTTTCTTCCCTATTTCTCATTGAAATCTTCATAATTTCAAGATTGTTGCCTCGTACTTCCACTGTGCACTCTGTAGAGCACTGTGCTGTGCCTTTTTGACAGACAGACATCTCTCAGACACTGGCTGGCAGCTGTTGTGTTCCCCAGGGCTGTCCCCTCTCTAGGCACAGGGAGCCCAGTCCCACCAGACTCATTCCACAGGGCAGGCACTGCCTGTCCTGGCTGTCCTGGTGACCCAGTGCTGACCCTTTCTGCTCTGTCAGCTTCAGCCTTGAGCAGGACTCCAGGTGTTGTCTGATGAGTGATGAGTAAAAGGGAATAGCCCCTTCCCTGGATCTCTTGGCAATGCTGCTGTTGACACAGCTTGATATTCTCTTGGCCTTTATGGCTATGAAGGATACACCAGTGGCTCATGTTCAGCCTTTGGTCCCCGGGTCCTTCTGAGCTGAGCAGAGGGTTTAGATCATTCTTGGGCAGCATTTTGCCTTTGTCCTTTCCAATTTCAAGAGGCTCCTCAGTACCCTCTCCTGCAGCCTGTCTGGGTTATGGTGAAGGGCAGTCCTTCTCTCAAACCTTTTGACCTGCCCTTTGGTGTCTGAAACCCTGACAAGGGCACACTGTCTCCTCCACCTCCAGGTCACACTGAAACTGTTCAGGCCTTCATATCTATATGAATGCAAAGTGATCAAAATTAAATTTTATCTTTTCCATGTCATGAGACACACAATATTTCTCCTTAAGATGTAGCCAAATTAAGAGCCTGTTAAGAGCTGAAGTATTTGTGCAGCTGTACAGTGTCTAGCCAGAAATATTAATTACAGCTGAAAGATATTTATTTTTCTTGGGAGTGTTTTCATATATGATTTCTAATGAGTCAGTATCCAGGACAAGGCAAAGTCCTTTTTTTTTTTTCTTTGATATTATCTTTCTTGCCAATATATCTCTTTTTTAAGAATTAAGTGTTGATTACAATATTGCTATCAAACCATGTTTTTGTCACCATCTTTCAAACTAAAGAAGCTTCTAACCAAGAGGAGTGAGGTTTGGGGCAGCCTCAGTCAAGACTGTGGAGAAGGAAAACTCAATGGATTTAAAAGTAAGACAAGTCTGTCTATTTGTGCTGCAACCTGCTGTGGAAGGAAACAGTTGGGATTAACTACTATAAATTCCTTTCTTCTGTTCCCTTTAATGAGAAAAAAAATTAAAACAAATTCATTAGGAGCACATTAGTGCAGGAACTAAAACATTCAGTAAGAAGTACAAAATGCTAAATTATAACCTCTTTCCAAATTTTACAATCATCCTTTAACACTCTGCATGATTGTAGGGACTATATCTCTTAATAAGTTTTATAGGAAATCACTTGTCATAACTAAACTCCCTGATTGCTAAAACCATTTCCTTTGCTTTAGTTCATTGGTCTGAGTAGAAAGCGAGTAGGGAAGGAGAGGCAAAAAGGAGCTGGGGGATAGCAAGGAACGTTAAAACTGGATTTTAAAAAATCCAAAAATTTGTCCACTTTTGTTTCATATTGAAATGAGTCATCTTATATTTGAAGTATTTATATTACATTAATGCTATTACACTTCTCTATTGGCCTTATAATTTCAGTTTTCTGCTTTTAAAAATGTATGTGGAATGTCTCTCTGAAGGAGAGTTTCTCCTGCTCCTCCCTCTTCACAGGCATCCACATCAAGCAGTTATGAGATGCTTTATGTGGATAGTTGGACAGGTAGCTTTGCACTGTACCTATGTTTTTATTTCTGCAAACAAATTCAGAAACTTACCCCATTCAGGAAGTAGCAGTACTGAAATTGCAACACACATTAAAGATGAACACTTTTATGACACACAGCTAATACGACTCTTACAGTTTTTTTGTTTTCTTTTTTTTTAACCTAATAGGCTAAAATACTTTTGGAAGAGAGGCTGTGTAGCTGTGGAATGTGTTTGGCTTTAATGGTCCTGATACATACAAAGATGAATACTTACTTTATTTGATTCTCTAACAGATGAATGTCTGGAAAAGAAAGAATAATAGGCAAAACATTTAATTATGCTAAAATAAAAATCACTTTGAGCACATCATCACTGGAAACTAACAGCCCCTGACAAGGGAAGAATTTTGTTACTGCTAGAGAAGTTCAGAGGCTGGTTATTTTTTTACACAAATTATTTTCAGGAGAAGTATCTTGGACTTCCTTAAAAAAAGAATAGCGTCCACTGAATTCAGTATGGTAAAAGACAACTTTGTTAAGGATTTATGCTGGGAGGAGGGGAAAAAGAGGAGTATCAACTTCAGCACTTTTCATCTCATGCCAAAAGGTCTTACCACACGCTTTAGAGTCAGCTATAAATGGAATTAAGTTCCTTGAAGACTGAAGAATTTAAAATTTGCAACACGCAGAGCTGAAATGGAAAGTGTAGAGGAAAGGAGGTATAAACCAGAGAAAGATGAGTGGAGGACATTCCTCATGGCCCTGATTAAGTAGGTGTTCAGGTATTTTTCTGCCTTCTCCTGATATGCCTTATCAACAGGATTATCTTCCTTTCCTGGGAAAGAAATATTCTCCATTCAAAAAAAAAATGGACAAGATATCAAGTCTGACATATTTTGTTAGATGTTTTGGTTATGATGAAAGCTTATGCTTTTTAGCAGTATGTATCTCCTAATAAAAGAGACAGAGGACCAGATTTTATAAGCTACTTAGCAACATAAGGTGTGAATAAGCATCTAGTAGCTTTTGGAAGGCTCTGAGATTTATTCCCTGTTTAGCCTGTCTCCTGACTGAAAAAATATGACAGCGAGATATTTTGCTAAATCAGCCAGAAGACGAAAAGAAGATCTGGTATAGGAAACCCTGGGAGCTATTTTTCAACAGTGACAAGGGCTCTCTTTCTCATGCCTGTGTTGAAAACATCGATCAGCATGGAGGCCTGAGGCAAGAAATTTGGAAATTATCTGTATTATTCAAGAAGGCTAGGAGAAAGGAGAGGAATTGTTTTGGTTTGGATAGTTGTTTTTGTGTTAGTTTCTTCAAGTTTTAGCTTGGTCTCCAGGGTCATTACTTAATGTGTGAAAGCCCATAGTCAGAACTGGGTATGTGATAGAGTTCTGTGACATTAAAGATGTGCTTGCAGGACTGGCCTCCACCTCCAAGGGACATGGCCCTTGCTTACCACGGGCATATAAAAGGTTCAATCACACCAGAGCTTCTAAGATACATTCCAGGACCCTTCATTTACCCATTTTTTATGAAGCTATTTTTAGGAGTGTATAAATAATGATGTGTTAAATTTTATAAGTCTTCCAAATTTTGTTGGAAAACAGGACTTGGACTTCTAAATCACATCTGTGATTGGACAGCTTTATTTACAGTCTAGCAAAGGACTGTAAGCTGTCGTGCCATACTCCTTCCCTCTGCAGCTCATATGCGTGTTTTCTTCTTACAAAGCTGTAACTGGACTGAGGACAGGTGAGAAATATTTTGAGTGAGGTACTCGTGGGAAATTTGTCTTCCCCAGATATTGTGTGTTCTTATTCTGTGCCACTTCTGTCTTACTCATGTGATAAAAACTCCTAATACAATAGGCATGACATGTATTTATATTATGGAATTTGGCTTTATAATAGGACCTTTTAAATCCAAGTGCTCTGCATACTGATATCTGCTGGCAACACAGATTATAACATTTCTCACACAGCTTTCAATCTGTGCTGCCCTACCAAGGGAGGGGATCAGCTGTGGGATTTGGAACTTTGCAGCTCTATGTCAGGTCTTGCATCTGAATGTTAATCTACTTCATATTAATGAAATGTCTTCGCAACCAACAGTTTTTGGAACCTAATCCATGAGAAAATTTAAGCACCATTCAGGAAAAAACTCTACCCCAAAAACACGTAATTGAGATCACTCATTAAGAATACACTTAACTATAAGCAAAAAATTATTTCCTTGATTTGTAAGCTTATTTTCCCCCCAAGGGATTTGAAATGACCTTTGTAAAATGAAGCAAAATTTCGTCCTGATGAGATGAAATTGAAATCATTTAAGGAAAGATGGACAAGATTGACACAGCTTCCATCTGCCATGGGTTTTTTGTCAAGAGTCATTTGTGTCCCCTGGATTTGTGTCATTCCTCTTCTCAGCATGGGTCCAGCACTGTCCCCCATCATGAATGTGCATTTTGGTCACACAGCAAGAGCACATCTGCTTATGTGGCAGTGAGCACACCTGACCAGCTCTGTGTTGTGTGGAAAAAGCAAGCAGACTCAACCTGGCATGAGCATGTTCTGGGTCATACAGCTGGGCACAAGTGGTTTGTGCTTCAGGTGGCTCATCCTCACTGCCCTGTCAGGATGCTGAATGACCACGGGCGTTGTGTGGCTGAGGATTGCAAAATGGAAAGGGCAAGAAGTGATTTGGATTCATTGGTCTCATGGGCTGAAGCCAGGCTTCTGCCTACAGATGAGTCATTTCTTTTGCTGAACGTAATATCTTTGGGATGTGGAGTGTGTTTCAGTGTGTTTCTCTATCACTTGATTCACTAACTGCTAAGTAAATGGCATTTTTGTACTTAAAAGCGGGAGTGGTTGCAAGACCTCTAAATATTATTAAGGGAAAAAAAAATAGGACAAATCTTAAACAAAATGTTCATGACAATTCTGTCTACTTTTCTACATCTTTACTTCTTTACCGTTATTTTGTCAGTTCTTATTTTTTTAAAAAATGCTAGTGTCACATTACGCTAAATACCACTTCCCTCAATTATTCACAGCTGTCTAAAAAATAACTTTCTTAACTAAAAGCAGAGGTGTGATGGAAGTAAAATTTTGTGGTTTGAGCAGGGAGAGTGTTTTGTTTCTCAGGGAACGAAGATGAGGAATGCACTGTACCTTATGACTTTTGCTGATGTTGGAAAGGTGGGACCTTGGCGGAGCGTGTTCCTCTTGTGAAAGACCTGGCTGCTTATTCTTGGCTCTGGAGGAAGGGGCTGATACTGCTTTGGCAGCATCTTTGGAGGCCTAGAGAAGGTCACAGGAGAACTTGAAGAGCTATTAGGGAATAAAGGAGGTGCAGGGACTGTGTGTTAAGTGCAAGTTCTAGAAGTAAGAGACTGGAATTTTCTGAGAGTATTTCAATGTATTTGTGCTGAGCCAAGCTCAAATCCAGGAGCTCTTCAGGGCCCTTCAGTAGCAATAGTAATATTGGATAATATTTTACATTTGCAAGACATTACTGCACTGTGTTGTGTGCCACTAAATACTGGTTTTGTGTGCCTCACCAGGGTGTGCCATGTACAGCTCTGCAGTGTGGATATTTCTGGGTGGGTATGGCTGTGTATATGGACCAGCCAGGGAACACACTGAAGATTCAGACACAGAGTAAAAAATGTTCTTCATCCCAGAAAACTCGCAGGTAACATGGGCCTGGTGTTTTCTGATGGATCTGGGCATGTCCTGTCTGTGCTCAGACCAGGCAGTCCCAGCCCAGCCCCAGCTGGGAGCTGCAGCCTGGAGAGGTTGGCTGCACAAAACTGGAGGTGCATCCAAGGGGGCTGGCACAGCTGCCTTCAGTGGTGGGCTCCTGTGGAGGGAGCCTTGTGTTTGCACAGTGCATACCCAAATTAAGTCAAGTGAGCGAATTAAGAACCATTCTGGCCACCATAATACAAACAGAAACAAATAGTGAAATTTTGTAGAATAATGGATTGTGAAAGTTCTTATTTCTGCACTATTACGTTTTTGAATTTGTGAAATTTTACTGCCCTTTTATGCTATTTTATATTTTTTAGAGTCAAATCTAAATATGTAATGCTAATCATTAAAAAAATTCTTTATTGAAGAATTTCTTTTAGAGCAGTCAGTGTAGGTATGGAGGAATAAAATTGCCATTCCTAGATGACCTTTTTTAATTATAGCAGTTATTATTTGAGCTTGACCAAATAAAGAGGTGATTATTTTTTTATTTGTGGGCATATCATAGAAAAATATATTTGTGGGATAGAGCTTGGTCTATCTTCTGTGGGAGTAAGTGGAAATATTCCAGTTGATTTCTATAAATGATTTAGATTTGTAGCAAAAAGTACTGGCAAATTGATTTGAGAATGAAGTCAATATTATCATAATGAACAGAGCCTAAGGCACCAATAAAATCGGTGGAATATTTTTTCCCCATCAATTTATATCTGGATTGAGCCAGATTCACTATTTCTACCTTTTGACTTGTCTGTAGGCACAGCCAAATTGGTTTTGAAGATGCAGGCCTGAGCTCCTGCTATGAATGCTTAGAGCTGGTGTTTTGTTCTCCCTAATTCCATATCAGAACCTGTAAGTCCAAAGCGAGGCAGCAGTAAAAGGATGCTGGCTCCCTTCCAGTCACCTCATTACCATGAGCAGCACAGATGGATGTGAGCATTCATTAGCACTGAGTTCCCCGGGGACCACAGGTAAGTGATCTCTGATGTGATCTTACCGTGGGGGAGGTGTGGGCTCCTGGAAAAGAGAGGAAACAAAAATCTCTGTAAGCTTTTCCCCCCCTCTTGGTTTGCTAGAGAGAAATGCAGAGAATTTAGATTAAGTAGACATGCCTGTGTCGAAGAGTCAAAGGGTTTATATGCTCTACAGCACAAAACATCATGCTATAACATGTCATTTTAAAATCACTGAGGAATGAAAGACATCCTCATGTGAATGTGAGTGAGGACTGCAGATAGGAGTTCTCTTTTCTTTAGCTAGTGCTAGCAAAATGGCAGCCTGCTTTTAAAAATCTATTAAATGGCAAAATAACCAGTAACAACTTTAATTGATGAGAGATTCTGCTTACCTGGTATTCATGTATTTTCATTCTTCCTCCTAAAAATAATTACAAATAATTCTTAGTTGAGTCCTACCCATATAATTCACAAATGAAGTTACAGCTTTATTCTTGGTATTGTTGTTATTGTTATGGGCAGTCCAGCCCCATTCCTTGCCTTTCCCTGGCTCTAAGTCCAGAACTCTGCTCTTGCTTTCAGAATGAAACATTTGAGGGTGATATTTACTCAGGTACTGTAAATTTAAATATTTTTCAGAGACTTTATATACATATGTATATGCTTATCAAGTTAGGGATGCATTTTTTTCCTTTTATTTTTGTATAGAAATTTATAAAAATACTGAAAACCAATGAAATCCGTTCTATTTTTTTCAAATATACCAAAGTATGACTGATTATTTAAATTCACATCATACTGATAAAAATCTTATTTTTTCAATATTGAAATTATTTTCCTAACTTTTATATTCTGAAATCCTAACTAATGCAAAGGACATGCCACGTATCTCAAGCTCTCCTTCAAGTAAACCATAACAAATTGCTCTGAATAAAATAATGGTAGCTTAAATGTTTAACATTTCTAGAAAATACTGCTGAAAAAAAATTCTTCTGTGCCATTCATGCCATCTTGTGGCAAGGCCACTTAATAGCACTGGGCATGAGAAAAATGTTAGGGTTTATTTAAAAACAGTGTAGCTATTATCTAAAAATACTAGTGTCCTCTATAAGCACTATTTACTCAGGAAGTATTAAAAATATGTATCAGTCGTGTTCTCTAACACCAGAGTTTAATTTACCTTACTGCACTTTGGTACATCTTAACATCAGCACACATCACATGGAGACATGTAAATCCAATTCAAAGGAATTTGAGGCTTTAGATAAACTGGCAGACTGTCCTTGCCCACTTATTTCTGCAGATTTTGAAGTTGGCTTACTCGAATTTATCTCAGTTCAGCATTTTTTCCAGGCTACATGGGGATTTGCTCACAAGAATCAATCTAACTTTTCGTTTTCAAACTATATAGTGCTTGTTTTCTCATCATCTGTAGGAATTATTTCTCTCTTAATTTTGCATTATAGTGTAAAATAAGAGGGGGGGGAAAGCAAATGCTGTTTTACATGGAATTGTTTGAGTTATTTTCCTGACTGATCAAATTATAATACTTTCTAAAAATCAGCTGTTACAGCAAACACAAAAGGGTCACATTTTCTTGGCTTGGCAATTACAGTCTTTTTGACCATATTACCTTATGGTTCAAAGATTTGAAAATGGTAAGATAAAAAAATACAATTTCTTTTCAATGATTATCAGATATTTAATCCTTCAATAGCTGACTTCATGATGTACTGCTACACCCAAAGTTAATGAAATATATAGAAACCTACTTTTAAAACAATCTTACAACTGAGTAAGTAAAACTGCCAATTAAAGGATTTAATATTCACTTACACTTCATTATATAATAATAATATACACTTCATTAGTTTTTTGAAGAATAAGATTGTCTCTCTCTGATTTCACCACAAGAAACAGAACAAAAATTAAAGGTACATTTTTGACTCAAAATTAAAGGATTTTGAATAAAATTTAGGGTTAAAGGTAAAGCAGCAGAGAAAAAAAACATGCTAGGTGATGTACCACACAATTAGCATATTCTGAGTAGATGAACATTGTCAGACAGCCTTTGTAAATAGTCACCCTAGGATGTAAATCCCTAGTGGGAATTGCTAAAGTTGATATTACTAGTTAAAAATAGTTATTAGATTATGTTTTACAATATGTTCACGCAAAAAGAAAGGGACTGAAAAAGTATTACATTATTAGAAGTAAAGCACAGCAGGAACTTGCAGCCATTTGGTGGAAGAGTTCAGGAAACATTGGCTTCTCCCTGCCCCTTATTGCCTTACAATGTAGTGAAAAGGAAAATATGATTTTTAAACTGAAGGACTTTTCTTCCTTCTCCTATAGGAACAGGGAACTCCTGAGATAAAATATATCTCCTGTAAATAATTACTTCAATATTAGATAGTTTAAAGTGTACTACAAAATTTGCAGGATGAGATGATTGTTTTGGAAAGCAGCTGCTGTTCTGAAAACCGTGTCTATTCTATCAAATGTAATCTCTGCCTATGTACAAAAGGTAAATATGGAAGTAGCAATTACTGTTTCTCTTTGCAGAAATGGGTAGGTGTTATTTTTTTATTATACCTCTTACATTTGGCAGCGTTCTCCCCTCCGGATCAAATGTGTGAATCTGTTAATAAACCAAAATAAAGATGATGTTAGCCATCATTCTTGAAGCTGTGGCCGGTAGAAAGGATGCTGCTCCGGGCTGGGATGCCTCTGAGACTCAGCAGAACCCCAGCAGTGAAAGCAAGAGGCGAGGGCATCCATGTGAAGTGAAACAGGAACGGCTCACAGGAACCTGGGCTGCCTGGTGCAAGTGAATGTGATGTGGCTAAAACTTGAAATAGACTGCACTTTGGGGGTGTTGCAGAAAAGGGGAAATCTGGTTGTGAATAAGGTTTAGTGTCTTTACTTACAGCTGAGTGTTGAAGGGGCTGAGGTGGGCTCTTGCTCGTTGGGGAAGTGGTACCTGAAGGCCTTAAGTAACGTTTATCTGCAAAAGAGGAAGAAAATCAAGCCTGAGTAATTCAGTAATATGATGTTTGAAGAAGGAGGGGCTTTAATGTTCAAAATGTGTTTTTCAGGTCAGGTCTTGCCTTTTTTTTTTCCTTCCTTTTTTTTTTTTTTTTTCTTTCTTTTTTTTCCCCCAGAACATAGCAACCATTTTAGCAGCTGTATCAAGGACATAAGCATGACCCTGCTAAAGCTTTATGGTTAACCTCCCCACTGTGGTTATAAATAAAAGCCTTCATATGCTGGTAAACAGTTAAGGCAGATATTTGACCTTAACTATGGTTAGATTACTGAATCTGTTTTTCTTTTGAACCTTTGCTCTTGGCAATGCCGTTGTGTTCTGGTTTTGTGAGAGTTGTAGGGATTTTATTCTCTAAGTATTATTTTAATTTTTACTTTAGCTTTTAATAAAAACTGCATCTCTGGCGGTCAAAAAATGCTCAGGTTGTATGCTAATGTGTTTTCAGTCATTAATTT